GTGTGTGTGTGTGTGTGTGTGTGTGTGTGTGTGTGTGTGTGTGTGTGTGTGTGTGTGTGTGTGTGTGCATTTGTTGTGGCAGGACGGGGCACATTAATCAGGCCAAATGGCGTCACTGGCCAGCAGGTGATTGTACCGCTGCCATCCATCCTCAACAGGGAATCACGACTGCTGACTGAGGGGCTTTGCTGTTTTTTCAGGCATCTAAAAGAAGTGCTGCAGGGGAGAGATGTGACAAGCAACATTTCACACTCTGAGCATCACAGGCACGACTGTTTAGCTGTAGGACATATGCTCAGTAACCCATGCAAGATGTTTACCACTTAAACATGATCAGATGATTAAATTACAGCCAAAACATGAAGGCCTGGATGTCCTGTAAATCTATTTATTGTGGTTTAAGTTGCTTTCTCCGAGACAAGTCACGGTTCAACTGAAGGTTTCTGTTTCAGAAAAAGAACGTTTTTTATGCCTGTAGTGACGAGGATAGTGTAGAAAGAAAGATAGAAACTGCATGGGCATAAAAATGCACCTAATGTTCTGACCTGTTGGGATGTAAGCCGGAGACTTGCTGCTCTGGGTGTTAATGCCCATATGGTGTGGGCTCTAATTACAAAGCTATCAGCCACCCCATGTTGACAGATTCTAAAGGGGTCGTGCACAACCTCCTGAAATATTTGAAATACTGAAATAATCAGGGCAGCGAAAAGTGAGCTCACTGTCAGAAGATGAATACATTGAGTTTGGTTCACTGGCAACATGTTTAAAGATGGAGAATTTGTTAAGTGAAGAACAAAAGACTCCACTTAGCAAAGGTTCTGATGAGCAGCCTTTCTAAACCACTGCTAAAGATCCAAAATGAAGCCAAACTCTCGAGGTTTAGCTAAGAAATGATTTCACTGTGGGTAATGGAAAAAGTCCAATAAGCGATCCAAGTTGGAGTTTGGTGCTATGTGGAGGAAGACCAGCACGAGAGAGAATTACACCACTCTCTCTATTCAAAGCTGTAACAAGACATGGAGGCAGAAATAGCTGAAGTCTGTAGTTGAACACTGGCACCAGTTCAACCAACAGGCCGTTCTTCATCTGCTCCATCTACTACTGCTTGAGAACCAAAGAAAACCCAAGGAGTGACCATTCTCCACAATCGCCTGACCCAACATCAGTGCAGACTGTTGAAGGCTCAAAAAGCCAAGCAGAGATCACCTTTGATCCAGTGACGTGTCTGTGGAAACCTCTACATCTACACTTCCACTGCAGAAATAAAGGATAGAGTGTCAAAGATCTTGTGACTTCACCTTAACAGGAAATGCGTAGTGATTCATAAGAGTGCCCTGTCCACAGGAAGTCTTTGCCAACCAAGGATGTGGCCCCATGCCAAGCCTTGCAAAATATATCTGAAGGGCTCATATGGAAATCAATGGGAAAGGAAACGCAACACCTTTTTTTTTAAACGACAAAACCAACCACTGATAAGCCTTTTGTTGGCACAAGGCTTTGAAATAGTATGAAACACAATGGCTTACTGTCAAGCCTATAATTGGCCTTTAGGTCTAAGAGATCTTTGTAAGCCGTAACTCGAATAAAGGTAACACAATGACAATGAAAGGTCAAGTCTTACACTGAGTTATAACCAGAAGTCCAGTGTGTCAGATTAATCACAGGAAGGAACAAAACAAGGTTTAAACTTCACATAAGATGCTCACTTTTTCCAGTATTTTCCACGTTTAACCTTCAGAGGGTTTGAGTAAATAAAAGTACGACTTGAATGGAGACTTGGATTTGATTTGTTTTGCTGTAACGCAAGTACATTTGTCATCAACATATCTTTGATTTATTTCTTTCCTGCTCTTACTCCTTAGGTGGGCGGGTCTTATTACAGACTCCATCACCTAGCAACCACTCTTAAACCTAATCAAGTATGATGAAAATTAAATCAAATGAACAAAACTCAGTTTACAATCCCGAGTGAAAATATAACGGTTGGTCACAGATTCTTGGATAAAATTCTTCCCACCCAGAAACAATAATACTGAGATTTGTTTGCAAATGTAAATGACGACCCATCCATCCATTTTCTTTACCACTTATCCAGTTAAGTTACTCGATGGGATTTTAACTCTGTCAAAAATGATGCTGAACCCTGACCTAAACTCAGACTTGCACACCAAACCATGGCTGTTAGAGTGACAGCCAGACTGCGGACACATCAAAGAGCGCCCCCCGGTGTTTAGTTTTATTAGGCGAGGAAGCCGTGTCACCGGGGACGGCAGGTCCAGCCAGTGTCCTGCTCGGAGGAAACAATGTAAGTAAATGGCACAAGTTAAGCAGCGTCTGCAGGCCAAATGTTTGCTTTGTCTTTGGTGATGTGGGTGTTTAGGTACACATGAGTGTGTTTGTGCACCTCGAGTGTTTCACCCTCGGTCTTACTCACTAAACGCTGCATTATATAACCTCATCTTCAGAGCTGCATGACAAGCATTGGCCCAGGGGCTGTGTGTGTGTGTGTGTGTGTGTGTGTGTGTGTGTGTGTGTGTGTG